AAACTCCCTTCTAACGTAACTATTGTATCATTTTGGGGAATTGTCACAGTAAAGAGATCCCGCTTTCACCGGACATCTGAAGAGAACTTCTCGAACAAAAACACGTCATTTCGTCCCTTTTGCAGTACGATGAGAATAATAGAGAAATACGTGCGCCGTCCCCAATGTACATTGGAAATCTAACGTTACGTTTCGGACAAATCAATAACCTACCAATACTGCGTCTAGAAACAAGTACAGCTCATCTATCCATGTCGAAAAGCACTGTACTTAATATATTTAATCTCGAATACTGTGTAAATCGTCTCATTTCCTCCTTAACCGCAATGACTGATAACGTCGACAAAAAATTTTCACGACTTCTCGCTATCGCGTTCACTGTCATGAAATCCGCGAACATGCTAAAAACGATATATGATAACGAATCCTTCGACCGCAACGACATACTTGATTGCGAGTTGAGCGCTTTGATTTTCGGAGAGCATTAAGTGTATATGTCATTTTAACACTAACAATTTTTTCTACCTACTATTAGTAAATACTTTTTTACTTTTTTCTTCCAGCCTATATGGAGTATCACACGGCATATAAAAATACGTAGCTTTACAAATCATGAAGAGCGGCGCTGGATACGCGCCCTTTGAAGATGACACAGGGAGGATTGCTTATACAATATGTAGAGAGACAGCTCCCCATGCCTCAAATATTTATTCGGGCTGGAGCCATACGAGCTTCCATTCGAGTATATATAAGTTATTTTATTTCTCTTATTATATATTATACTGATATTAATACTTTTTTTATATTACAGACCGATGTGGGACTAAATGAAGAATTCGAATCAATACCATATAATCAAATCGTAAATTTAAAATAGTGTAATAATAAATAAATTGCAATATATTTTACTATTAAATTACTTTTTATAATTTTATTCGTATTATTAATATAAACTAAACTAAAAAAGAGACAAGCTATTATCGCGGTATAAGTGCGAGTGACAGAGAGCGGCGTCGATGTGAGTGCGTGCGAGTGCGAGCGAGAACAAACAGCGTCGGTGTAAACGGGCGTCGGTGCGAACGGGCGTTGATGCGAATGAGATAGGGCGTGCGAGTGCGTGCGAGAGCGAACGGCGTCGGTGCGAGAACGGACATTGGTGTGAGTGTGAGTGAGACAGCGCGTGCGATAGTGCACGCGGAAATTTAGAGTATAGTAATGTCTATATATACACGAATTTTTTTATTTCATTAAATATCTTACAATATCAAAGTCGTTTTTTATCTTCTAATACGCATCCATCGATGCGAGCGAACGTGCGTGCGAGCGAGAGCGAGCGAACGGCGTCGATGCGAGTGCGTGCGAGTGCGAGCGAGAGCAAACGACATCGGTGTGAGCGATGTCGGTCGAGTGCGTGTGAGCGAAAGCGAGCGAACGACGTCAGTGCGAGAGCGAGTGAATGTGCGTGCGAGCTAATAGCGTCGGGCGAACGGCGTCGGTGCGAGCGAGAGCGAGTGCGAGTGAGACAGTGCGTGCGACAGTGCACGCGGGAAAAAACGCGCGAATTCCCTCAGTCACTCGTCTACTCTCGAGCTCGCAAGATCGTTGTCACGTTGCGTCACGTCGTGACGTCACGAGCTCACACACACATGCACCCGTGGGGACGGGGGCCGGGGAGGAAAACCACGAGAGGTGGTGGGAGGAAAAAGCAGTTCGCTCATTGGCTGCCCTCCCGCACCACAATACCCCTCTCGCCCAGTTTTCCCCCCGGCTCCTCACCCCGCGGGAAAGACCATGACTTCATATATATGGTACATAGCTTTCCTACTATGTATAAATATAAATTGTATTATATTTTAATTTATATTATAATTTAAAAAATGCGCTTTTAACAAAAATAAAAATATCTGATGTTCCTATAAACCTTCTAAAAAGAAAAATATGATTAATGTAATTGAAAGTATAAATATAAATAAAAGTATATATGCATATAAGATTAAGAAAAATATTATTAATTACAATAAATTCAAAATAAAATAATAGTCTGACAGCAATATATTTTTATAGTGTTATATCAACAAATGAAAAAGTAAAGTATTGAATAAAAAGAGAGAATACCGATGCTCCAACACGTGGAAATCAATGGCAAAAACATACGAAAATCTCAAAAACATTTTAATTTTGTGACAATTGTATAATATTGTAATAATATACTATGAATTTAAGTAAAAATTATACAATAAAAATTAATAGAAAAAATAAGCTATCCTATTTATTATGTTTG